TTTACAGCTTGTGGTTGGAAAAGGGCTTATTCCTTGTGAAATACTTGTTGCTCGGGCTAGAAGGTTGATTAGTTTTTTTATGAGTCCAAAACAAAGTGAAAGGTTAGAACAGGTTCAATTAAAAATAAATATATCCGAAGATCAGGTTTGTTTTATTTATATTATGCATAAATATTAAATTATTAACTTATTAGTCAACTAATTACCAATTAATAATTTTTAGGTTTTACGTAAGACAGATCACTATTTACGGCTTATTGCTGATACGAAAACTCGATGGAACTCATCATATCTTGCATGGAAGAGATTAATAAAGTTACGACCTGCAATAAATGTAATGATTAGCATACTTGAAACGGAAACTGATCGTGTATCAAAACGGGAAGTAAAGCAACTTAAAAAGATTAATTTGACTAATACCGAATGGGATACTATTAAAGAACTTCTTCCTATATTAAAGCCATTTGCTGAAGCAACAGAATTTTTAGGAGGAAGTAGTTATTCAACAATTAGCTTTATGTTTTATGTAATTTCGATTTTAGCCTCTGACCTTGCATTAAATGATAACAATGATACTTATGTAATGATCGACTTTGAATCAAGTGCAACTGCATTCGATGATGATATTATTTATGAAGATGCAGATGAGGAGGTAGATGAAATAACTAGTGGAACTCGACGAATTCGAATTAATACACCCCAAAATTGTAATGGGCTTATCAAACAGATCAAAGTTGCTTTAAATAAAAGCTTGCATCATTATTATTCTGTTCCTTCCGAAGTTGGTACATTAGCAGCATTATTAGACCCCCAGTGTAAATCTCTTAGTTTTGTTTCTGAAAATAAAAAATTAGAAACAATAAAAGCATTAAGAAATATAGTTGCAAGCCTACAATCTAATCATGAAGAATTTCAGCAATCAACTAAAAGTGATAACTCACTTATTGCACGAATATTTCAGCTACACCATCCTCAAATAGATGAAGTAACTGATTACCTTGCTCAACCACAAATTTCTCCAACACATAATCCTTTTAGTTGGTGGATAAATAATCAAGAAAGATTTCCCACCATCATCAAGCTTGCTCAAAAATACCTTTCTATCCCTGCAACTTCAACACCTAGTGAGCGTCTCTTTTCAGATGCTGGAAATATTATGTCTTCAAAACGCACCAATCTTAAACCACAAGTTTTTGAACAACTTCTCTTTTTAAAAAGAAATTATAATTTAGTCAGTGACATATTTCCAAAATAACGAAGTCCAAAAATACTATGCATTAAATACACTGTAAGTATTGGATATTCGAAATTTATTTCATACATTTTTAGGTTCGTAACAAATTACTAAGAAATTTAACATATTTTCAGTGGTTATCAATAAAGTGACAGATGAAAATTGAAATGCGAGTTAATAAAAAAATTTAAAATGTAGTTTTTTTTTTTTTTGTGCAAAAATACTACTACATTTATTAGGCTAGTATTTTGAAACTTATGTGACAGGCGAGCAAATACTGCCATAGTTATAAATTAATAAAATTCTCAATCGCTATAAGTTGTTAGCTATATAAAATATTGATTATAGTCCAATATATACTATGGTTTGGAATATTCAAAATTCAATATTATTG